TGCCCTTCCGCTCCTATCTTTCCTCCATTTGGCACTTCCTTCCAACTGATTCATGCCTTCTCAGCCTCTCATCACTCCTACACAGATATCTTCGCCTAAATGTTCTTTTTCAGCACGTCGCCGAGAAGGCTGCTGAGCGATTTGAGGCACAGACGATCGAACTTTCCAATAAGGTACGGTAATTCGACAGTACAGTAATCATCTACCGTATTTGACCACAAACCCTTTTTTCAGGTTGAGGACCTAAATAGACACGTGAATGACCTCGCCCAGCAGCGTCAACGCCTTCAGGCAGAGAACAACGATCTCCTCAAGGTGAGCTGCAAATCTCCACATGTTTATCCAAACGACGGTTTCTTGCTGATTCCTGTTGCGTCATAAATTGTATGCGCGTAATTCCTGGAAGGGAAATGCTGACATTCATTTGTGAAGCATCAAAACAACTTCTTTTCAGTTCCGAAATGATTCACATTGAAGTCGTTTTTCCTCTAGGTATCACTGAAAGGGTTTTTGCAGTGAAAAAGGCCTGATTCAATCCCAGAAGGTTTTTCTCCCAGATGACGTCCACGCCTCCACTTGACACCCTTTCCACAGAACAAACAAACACTTTTTCAAGAACCTTTATACTCCACTTCAGAATATTTGCCCTTTTTTAAGTTTTTTTTTGCAATTCTGCGTATGCCCCGTCTGAAGTGCGTCGCGTAGGCGTTGCGGTATCAGATGGATCATGGTCGCGGATTGCGACCGATACGCCGAAACTAACGCCACCTTCTCGTGGTACCGGTTCCGTGAATGACGCGATCATCAACGACACGCCAGTGTAAACACTGCACGCACAGCACTTCAAGAACTGCCACCATCGGCATGCGTATCCACAAACAAGCACAAACGCCCACACAAAGTGTGCTTATCGATTAGAGACAGGTGATAATTATCTGGTACTTTTCAGGAGGTCCACGATCAGAAGGTACAACTCGACAACCTGCAGCATGTCAAGTACACTCTTGCTCAACAGCTTGAGGAGGCCAGACGCCGTTTGGAGGATGCCGAGCGGGTGAGTGGGCGTTTACTTGGGCTTTCTTACCCACTTTCCTACTATCACCTTACAGCAGTAGGAGGCCAAAAATGGCCGCTTTTGGCCAATACACCAGTTCAACTCAGCGACTTTTACCTGCCCATATTTAGCTTACAGCGGTTATAGGTGGCTGGCCTGCCTATATTTAGCCGGGTTGGGTAACCCCTTCGGTTGGAATGGTGCAGGTCACTATCACCATCGAACTAAGTTTCTTAAATATCCGGAATTAAAAGCTGAATAAAACGTCGTTCCAACTGGCTACCACCTCTCGGTTGATCTTCTAGGACATATCTGACCAAAAAGGGCAGACCACCTTGCCAGGGACCGAATTTGCTTAGCTCATATGGTCCAACGGACCGTGAACAGCCTCTAAAGGATTTGGAGTTCTTTGGCCATATTTCCACGGAAGACCACTTGCTTATGGACAAACACTCGCCCACGAGATTCTCAGCCGAGGTGCTGACGTAGATTCCCAGGAGCTCTAACTGGAAACATGGCTATTTATGGCGCAGCAATTGGAGCCAGCCATTCTCCGGCCTTACTGGGTGTCCATTTTCACACATCGAGGTCGTAAATCGCTTCCTTAATTGGCGCACGAAATTCTAGCCTCCGTTGCGGCGCCATTGCCACGATAAAACTTAACTCGGGCTAAACTTCGACTTTGCCTACGTAAAGCGCCCAACTGGGACACTGGGTAAGAGGTCTGGTGAAGCTACCGTATTTGGTAGGTGGGTAGATAGCTATTAATCTACAAATCAGCCGCGATCAGCGTACCCGTGTGAGTATAATCTCCAACTTTGTGTAGACTCTTCTTGGGGGAGATAGCCCAGTAGCTGAGCCCAGTAGTAGCGGATTGAAGGTCCCTGGACCTTTATCCGTTAGACGACTAAGTCGGCCTTAATTTTGAGGGGTACTCATCAGGGTACTGCTTTCGCCTGCTGTCTAGTCGGGTTTTTAGGTTATACCCAGGTTCCCGTACGCGAACTACCGCCACTTTCACAGGATCTGGCCATCAAGACCAAGTAGCCTCAGCAGCCACCCCCGCAGTGACTCAGGTGATTGACGGCTGTTTAGGTTAGGACGGCTGACCGGATGTTTTCAATTATCACATCCAGAACAGTGCGTCATAAGCGTTTAAACCCGACGTAACAAATTATTTCCGATGAAGTCATCCCTTCAAATGACGTCAGAACCTTTCCTGATGACACACCTGCAGTAACAACTAACTGCGTTGGTATTGCTTGAACCCTAAGAACGCGCTGACATTGAGATTTTCTTTGACGACATTTTGGCATGCCATTTTTGGCCATGGTCAAGTGGCCGGGAAACAGACGACCAGCTCAACTACGCTCACAAAAGGCCAAAAAGGGTATCCAGAAAGATGGACGAAAGCATTTGAGGCTCGATCGTTTGATAGATGAGGTTGGCCGACGCCGGCAATCGGACGGATGATAAATTCGGCCGGATTAACCATGGGGGCACTTATGGCCTTTTACCCAGGCCAATTGGGTTGCGAGAGTTTGAAGGAGGAAATATCCGGAAATTTTGAGAAAATAAGACTCTGTAGGAGTCGTTTAGAGACCTGCACAACCTAGTTAGCTGGATGACTATGCTATCACTTATCACTGATAGGCATGGCATGGTAGCAGTTTGTGAATATTCTGCTCCACATAGTATCAAGGGATTAAAACAAATACGTCAGATTGGCATCCTGAAAAAATCGATTCCTATGTCTTCTATTGACCTCCCAAATGGCTCGCGATTCAAGCCATAGCGGGCGAAAACCGAAGGAATGTGTATTTCAAAAAAAAACTAACCGATTCTTCGGACATAGCTGATCCGCGTCAATCCTCAAATAGATCAGGTCGGGTTCCAAAGGATTCTGGGCGGAAATGGAAGAAGTGTAAGAAATAGGTCGCTCTCAAATAGCTCCAAAAGACGTAGATTGCCGAGTTTCGGGGAAGCTCTTATAGCGGCCGAGTCGTTGATGAACGGGCCGCACCAAGGATTTACTTCGACGGCACTTTACAGCTCCATAATCCTTCCCATCATTTCAGGAACGCTCGCAGCTTCAATCTCAGTTGCATCAAGTGCAGCTCGAGCTCGACTCGGTCCGCCAGGCTCTGGATGAAGAGTCGGTGGCTCGTTCCGATGCTGAGCATAAGCTGAACTTGGCCAATACCGAAATCACTCAGTGGAAGAGCAAATTCGATGCGGAGGTATGGCTATTTTGGTGACCCTCAGGGATATTCAGCAGCACGATTCCATTTTAGGTTGCTCTCCACCACGAGGAAGTCGAAGATCTGCGCAAGAAGATGCTGCAGAAACAGGCCGAATACGAGGAGCAGATCGAGATCATGCTCCAGAAGATCAGTCAGCTTGAGAAGGCCAAGAGTCGTCTGCAGTCCGAAGTTGAGGTGCTGATCGTGGACCTCGAAAAGGCGCAGAACACCATCGCCATCCTCGAGAGAGCCAAGGAACAGCTCGAGAAACAATGCGCCGAATTGAAGGTACGTCATCTCCTCGTAGAAGGGATTACGGTAATTATTTATTCCTTTGCCTTTTCAGGTCCGCATCGACGAATTGACCGTGGAGCTCGAGGCTGTACAACGCGAACTTCGCGCAGCCAACGCCGAATTGCAGAAGATGAAGCATCTCTACGAGAAGGCTGTCGAACAGAAGGAAGCTCTCGCCAGAGAGAACAAGAAGCTCCACGGTCAGTCAGCCACCGCTTCTTGTCCGTTAAACGCTTTGATTTGGAACAGATCTAAAGGTGCTCGTTTCCAGACGAGCTCCACGAGGCTAAGGAGGCTCTTGCCGATGCCAACCGCAAACTGCACGAGCTGGATCTGGAAAATGCCCGTCTCGCTGGCGAAATTCGCGAACTTCAGACTGCCCTCAAGGTCAGCACCACTTTGGGCAAAATTTAGGCCTTAAAGGAATCCTTCCACGGAAAAAGCTCCGCCCTCATTACCACAGAAAACGATACCTTAAAGGAATCTTCCACGGAAAGAGTGATCATTTTGTCTTGTGTGTAGGATTAGTATTATCGAAACTAACGCTTATGTTCCGTTCTTTTTGCTATGCTCATGAGGCTAGGGGCCTAAGGTATCGTTTTTCTGTGGTAATGGAGGCGGAGCTTTTTCCGCGGAAGATTCCTTTAAGAAACTCACTGCGCCTTAGAAGGCCTTAATGCCCAGTTATTTTTACCAGGGGCGTACCAAGAGGTACCGCCACCTACAGTAGCGGGTGATGGTACCTCTTTTGCCCCTTGTTGCCAGTAATAGATCCCAAGCTCCTGACCCTTATGACATCCCTTTTAGGAAGCCGATGCTCAACGCCGCGATGCCGAGAACCGTGCTCAGCGTGCCCTTGCCGAACTTCAAGCACTTGCGCATCGAAATGGAGCGCAGACTTCAAGAGAAGGTTGGTTCAGCACCATATATGGTCCAGGAGTACCTATAAGGATCAATTTTTCAGGAGGAAGAAATGGAAGCTCTTCGCAAGAACATGCAATTCGAGATCGACCGCTTGACCGCCGCTTTGGCTGATGCTGAAGCCCGCATGAAGGTATCGTTTTAGCCTTTTCTGACCCATTAGACCAAACCAAAAGTTCCCATTTAGGCGGAGATCTCCCGACTGAAGAAGAAGTACCAAGCCGAGATTGCCGAACTCGAGATGACTGTCGACAATTTGAACCGTGCCAATATCGAAGCCCAAAAGACGATCAAGAAGCAATCCGAACAGCTCAAGATCCTCCAGGCCTCACTCGAAGACACTCAACGCCAACTCCAACAAGTCCTCGACCAGTACGCTTTGGCTCAACGAAAGGTAGCTGTTGGGTGCATTCCTTCATAGCGTTTTTCCTCGCTCGCCAGCGCTGAATTACACTCTTCCAAGTGTAACATGGGGTGATTACGGTATTTGCGGACGTCAACTGCGAATATGTAGGTGAACAGCTGTGCTGCTGGCGTTTTTCAGCCGTAGATAAGCCTTTGAGTTATTTCTTCTTCGCATTGCAGTGTGAACAAGAACTGGGAGTTATTGGTGGAACGCCATGGCGTGGGTGTACCTGCATGAGTCACTCGTTTACTTTCAGGTCGCTGCCCTTTCGGCTGAACTCGAAGAGGCCAAGACCGCTCTTGACAACGCTATTCGCGCTCGTAAGCAGGCCGAGATCGATCTCGAAGAGGCTAATGGACGTATTGCCGATCTGTCCGCCATCAACAACAACCTCACCTCGATCAAGAACAAGCTCGAAACTGAACTCTCCACTGCCCAGGCCGATCTCGATGAGGTTAGTATCCTGTACTCTCACTCCAAAGTAGCCAATTCGGCTAGACAGCCCTGCCCCTATGGCCGCATTAATTCAGACCTATTCGGCTTTCACTGACCTGTCGCAGTGATCTTTTTTAAATACCTGTCGTATTTCAAGGTTTCGGATACCGTAGGCCATTTAGCCCTGGCCTCTTAATAGCCTCATTAAAAGTATGACAGATGTGTCCCACGTGTCCCACCTGGGCACTATATGATTCCATATGTTCATCGGGAAAATATCTGAGCTTTTCAGGTCACCAAGGAATTGCACGCTGCTGATGAGCGCGCTAACCGCGCGCTAGCCGACGCTGCTCGCGCTGTTGAACAATTGCACGAGGAACAGGAGCATTCCATGAAGATCGACGCTCTCCGCAAGTCTCTCGAGGAACAGGTGGGTTCCTGAACCATTTTGAATGTAGACCCATAAAGGATACTGTAGTGGTACGGTAATTTTACGGTAGCACGGTACCGATTCGATTGTTCGTTTCAGGTGAAGCAACTCCAAGTCCAGATCCAGGAAGCCGAAGCGGCCGCCCTCCTGGGTGGAAAGCGTGTCATTGCCAAGCTCGAAACCCGTATTCGAGACCTTGAGACAGCTCTCGATGAAGAAACCCGCAGGTACGGTAATTGATACGATATCAGTGGCCAATGGAAGATCCCTTGGAGCAATGATACATATGTTTGTGCCTTTTCAGACACAAGGAGACCCAGAATGCCCTTCGCAAGAAGGACCGTCGCATCAAGGAGATCCAGCAGTTGGTGGACGAAGAGCACAAGAACTTCGTTATGGCTCAAGATACCGCCGACCGTCTGCAGGAGAAGTTGAACATCCAGAAGAGGCAACTCGCCGAGGCCGTAAGTTCTTTTGCTCTTCGCCTTTCGTCTTTCTTCAGGGCTATTGTTCCTCACTAAGGTAATCGTTTTAATTCTGCTCCAATTATCTCTAAACCCTTTTCAGGAGTCTGTAACGATGGCCAACCTGCAGAGAGTGAGACGATACCAGCACGAGCTCGAAGATGCCGAGGGCCGCGCCGATCAGGCCGAATCCAGCCTGCACTTGATCCGCGCCAAGCACCGCTCATCTGTTGTTACCGGAAAAGCCGGAGCTAGCAAGGTTCATCTGACATCGAATTTGACCCACGAAACGCAGAATTTCTTAGCTCTTTCAGTTTAGCGCCGCTATACGTCCTAATAAGGGCTGCAGTGAGGTTTTACCAGCTTTTTGAGCCCTCAATCCTTCGGCCTCTGTGCCTTTCGCTTGAGTGATTCGGTCAGGGACAAAAATTAGGACACCACCATTCCACAAGATTTGAGTGACCTTGGATTTTACAGGTCAAAATCAACTTAGGGTCCACAGCAGAATTGTGCGACTGGGGTAAAAATCAGGACAACGCTCTAGTGCTACGCTGGGCGAGGGTGCTACGCAGTCCAAATCAGCGAAGTATTGTCTTACAGTATTTGCCCACAACCATTCCCCGTTCAGCGCTGTCATAAACCGACCCCAAAATTCTACGTCCCCAACTAACCGATGAAGCCTACAGCTCTTTTGTGAGGTATACTCAACGATAGGTTATCGATTGACGCGTACGTCTATTCCCTTTTCTCTCCTTCACTACCCTTTGCGGAGAAACTTGTCTGGATTACGCTACACTGTTTTCGCATTTTGAAATCAAAGAGGTGGTCGAATGCGTCTCTCACCTAGCCGAGTAATTTTCCCCCCCCCCCCTTTAATCCATAATGTGCTTTAACTCCCCTAATAACTAATTTTCACGACACGGGGTTCCTTCCAAAGACCGCCGCTCGACTCGCTGAGATTCTCCCAATCTCTTGCTCCATAGCACGGAGCTACGGGGGAACCGCTGAGCTTCCTAGCAACCCTTTTTCTTCTGTTCAGCGCAGGGTAGAGGGCTGTGAATGGCTCATTGATCATTAACCTGAAAAGGTTCCATTTTGCATGGCTTCACCATCTAGGTCATTATGGCACATACGAAAGAAATCGCAAGATACGGGGGCATCTTCTGGGACTACCCCTGGATGGAGGCTGGAACTCGGGGAATATGGTAATTGTTCAAACACCCTGTAGTTCCTACTCCTCCGCCTAAGGCTTAGTGCCAATTTTAACAAAAAGGAGATGCTTAATGCGTTTTGAACACATTGCCACCACAATGCCCCCGCATTTTGCGATAGGGTCCTCATTCTTTAAGAGGTAATCTTCGCCTATTGAAGTGCTATTTTCAGGTTTACGTGATGGAGGACGACTTCTAAATGGTCCACTTTCAACAGCTATCAACCCATCCCCATCTTCGACCATCAATCATCACAATCAGACGCATTCAGCCCAACGATGTTGCTGCTCAGCTAGTGAGCGCGATCATCGTCGTCGTCATGTCTTTGCTCTTGTATATTGTTGGATGTTGTAGTGCTATAGTGTGTGCGCGCATGGCCCGCTGTCTTCATTTCTTCATCTTCATCATCATCACCGTTTGTGCAAAAATGCTGAGGATCTTCCCATCGTCGTCGCCCCCGTCCCATATGCCCATCTCTCTGTCTTTGTTTCATTCTTCTCTCAGTCTCGATCGACCCTGTTATATCCGCGATTGGCGCCTTTTGCGGTGACGAGTTCACACACTCTCTCTGTCTGACACTTCCTCTCTGTCATCCGATCATACATACGTGCATGTTTTTCCTACCGTACCACACACACGTACGTTTTGTTTCTGATGGTTCACGAGAGGTATAAAAGCGATTTTCTGTCTGATCACTAAGATCTTTTGCTCCTCCACCGCGTGTGCTCTCATTCTCAGCCAACACTCATCAATTTATCAGCACTCCTCTCGCACCCACTCCCCCCCTTGCTCCCAATGTTATGTATTTCGCGCAGATATCATCATCATTATATGAAAAGGAAAAGGATTCATG